TGGGGGGGAGGGACTAGATGATATAGCCATATAAAGATATACCAGTCCAAGACTCTCTACTCGACCTAATTAGCACTCAGACTGTATAGGATGATTCATTCCCATCCATACACAAATCGACTTCCCTGAAGTCGATCTCCTATAGTGCAACCGATAAGAAGCAGAACGGGTCTAGTCGACTCTCTCAAGTCGACCTTAGTCCGTCGACTTCCATCAGTCGACATCTGTATAAGAGCAACAAGAGCGTAACTTCCAGTCATCCCGATACTCTAAGTCGACTCTCAGAAGTCGACCTCGTTGAGATAGTCCTCTGAAGGTGATTCCCACTCAAAAAGCGATAAAGCGTAGCCTCCGAGTACTCATTTAATCATGAGTCGACCTCTTGATGCTCGAGGTCGACTTCTCACGCCTCGAGGCTGAGAACGCGATGACGATTCATCACACTTGCCACATATTTAGAGGCTCTGCATTCTCTAGTAGATAAGAAGGAATCTTATGATGACTCAGCAGTAAAGGGGAGACGAACCGACTGGGGTATTCCGGACATTTCACGTAGGTCGACCGGGGTGCTTTGGGTATTTCAAGTAAGTGTTTTCTCCTATAAAAAGGGGGCTGAGGTAACCCTAAAGGCCAACTCTCTGATCCATTTTCACTCTCCCCCATAGCTGCTGCGCAACCTCTTTTAATCACTCTCATACTGACTTGAGCGTCGGAGGCTCTACGCCGGAAACACCTTCGGCGTTGAGTTTTTGCAGGTATTCTCGCGGTTTAATAACGATTTGGAGGCGGTTCAAGCAGATCTGAACTCATATCCATCGGTTTGCTCCAGATCTGGAAGTAGACCCATCAATAATTATATATCTATATAACAATAATAAAAGTATTTCTTATATTTATCAATTAATATATCTATATTTCAAGTAGTTATATGATATAAGTTATAAAAATTACTATAATATAACACATGTAAGTCGCGCAAGTAATAAGTATCATTTTAAAATATATAATAATATATATTTTATAGATAAAAGTAAATAAAATTTAAAATAATTTTTTTCATCACTTTTAAAATTTAAAAATAATTTTTTAACAATTACCAGTGTAATACAAGGGTGTTGTACTAGTTACATTCTTTAATTATAATGGTAAGGGCCAGCCAAAGTAAGCAATAAGTAAGCATTGCATAGAAACTCTCTTCCTAACCGGGGCCCGCCACTAACAGTTCATGTCTTAATAATTATATTTTGTATTTTATTCCTGTAAAATTCAAATTTCAAAAAGTAGATTTTATACTGTTTATCCTTTTCGATCGCGATGGTGTTAATTTTAATTTCGGGCCCTCAAATTCTTCATTTCCTAAATTTGAAAATCTGATGCTTCAGTTCCTAATAATAAAAATCAGCTTGCTCATCCAGATAAATCATCTCAGTCAGCTGTTCGCCATTAATGTCTCTCTCAAGGTCAGCTAACCTCGTTATCAGCCACAAAACATGAGTTTATTTTCTCATGCTTCATTTTCACAATTCTGACACAAGCTTTTCGGTTGTCGGACGAGCTCCAGAGTTTGCTTCCTCTTTGGTTCTTGGATAAATTAATTGCTTTTGGTTCGGGTCACAACTTCCATTCCAGTCTTCAAATCCGGAGAATTATATAGGCCAAGAGTCTAAGTCAATGGCTTGAACGGTGTCAACTCGGCATTGTTCGGAGCTTTTAAGGAAGCAAAGATTTATCGGGGTTTATCGATTTGAGCAGAGGGTTTCTATTGATTTGCTACAATTTGAAAAAAAAAAAAGAAAGAGAAAGAAGATGGAAATGATTTCTGTATCATTAAATTCTAGAACTCGGAGCTCCTTAGAGGAGATGCTAGATTCTCTCCAGCGGAGTGAAGAGAACGAGACGCCCAAGGACTTGCCGCCGGCTCTTCCAGCCCGGCCCAAACCAACATATCGGGCCCGCCTTCCATCAGCCAAGCGACCCTTGCCAACCAGTTTTGGACCCGATCATGAATCAGGGCCGGCTCAGAGCCTGTCGAGTTTCTGTGTGAAGGAGGGAGAAGGAAAAGGAAGGGAGAAGAACAGTTTTGGGGCTAGAAAAGCTAGAGGTGCGGGGTCGGGGGAATCACCTTATGTATTTCCGCTGGCAGAGTCAGAAGACGAGCCCAGCCAGTTGTATGATAACATGTCGTATTTCATTGAAAAGGTAATAGTATTGTCTGTCTTTGTTGCTTGACTGCTGATATTTACGATCATTCTTCTGTAGATTCGTTGTTGTCATGAGATTCTTGTATATGTATTCAGGTGAAAAACACACTGATTTGGCATGGGTCTTCAAATGAATCGTGAATTTTGTGATTTATTTTCTCATTTCTTATGTTTTAAATTGTTTAGAATGATGCCACATAATCATGCAGATTATCATTTACATTTTTTGTGCGGTCTTGTTTCAAATTTGTAAGGACATGCTTGAAATTTAATGAAAAGGATCATAATTAAGTTTTGCTGCTGTTGTGGGGGAGTAGTACTTTTGAGTTCATAAATTGTTAAAAATTCTGGAAGTTGATGTCCTGTCATTTGCTCCCATTCCCTTACCTAGATATGATTGTCTCGGGAAATGTGAAACTCAGAGCTATGAGTTTTACTCTACTGCCAGGTGGGCATAGCATATTTGTTATGCCCTACTTTCCTTCTCCACTTACTTTCATACCTCTGTATATGTCTTGTTTCCTTTGTTTTGTCAAATATCATAAGGGACACTGAAGCATTTCGTAGGGTACTGATGATGTGCATGATATCGATATAAATAACCTTTATTCGGAATATCTGGGACATCTGGGGAGTGTTTGTAAGGTCTCTTACTATATGAGGAGTTATACTGCAGCATAAGTTATGAATTATAGAGAATTAGTGTTTTGCAAACAGTTGCTGAAAGTGTGGCTTGTAATAGGAGAGTTAGAAAACAAGATCCAGAAGTGCTTTACTTGTGAATAAAGAGTAAACTGAATCAGAACTAGAGATCCAAAGCACCCTGTCCACTGATCTAACTAAATTTTGCAAAATCAAAAGCAAAAAAGTGGCATTTTGAAACAATATAATCTTATTTTTGCATGTAAAAGAGGCTTTCATTTTATTCAAGTGTGACGGACACTCTTAATGGAATAGTTGGGTTCATTCATGGGTTAATTGTAAGTTGTAACAACGGTCAAAGAGTCATGCCATCATTTTTTCTAAATTAACTAGCATGTTCACATAGTGGTGAAGCATAGAATTGCTTATGGGCCACTTACCTTGAACGATTTTGTGCTTTCAGAAACTTCGTGTTTGGTGTCAACCACATAATGGTGTCTGGAAATCTGGGCAAATAAAATCAGTTTCAAGGGAGAAAGCTTTTGTTCTGCTCTTGGATGGAAGTGTTAGTTCTCTTGGTTTCTTTCTTTTTATAATATCATGTTGGAGCCTTAAACTGTATGCATGTACTTACTAATAAATTACTATTTCACTTAGGTTGTGACTGTTTCCATACAAGAGCTCTTACCTGCCAATGCTGACATTCTCAATGGAGTGGATGATCTTTTGCAGCTTAGTTATTTGAACGAGCCTTCAGTTCTCCACAATCTTCATTACAGATACTCGAAAGACATTATATATGTAAGTGGTAATTGGGTAGTTACTTTTAGCTCTTTGCTTTCAAGCCCTTGAACCCTACCCTTTTATTGGTCTATGTAGAGTAAGGCGGGCCCCATATTGGTGGCAGTCAATCCTTTCAAAGACGTCCAGCTATATGGGGATGACATTGTTACAGCTTACAGACAGAGGCTTTTGGACAGTCCTCATGTTTATGCTGTTGCTGATGCAGCATACAGCGAAATGATGACAGGTAATAAGCAATATCTAAGTGTTTCAATTATGTTCTCACTGTTTTTGGCTCGTCACTGCAGTTTGAAGTGCTAATTCTCATACCTTGATTATACTTTCAATTTGCAGAGGAAACAAATCAATCTATCATCATAAGGTTAGTTGATGTTACGGCCCCCTACCTCTTTCAATTTCTGTAAACAGTTCCCCCTAACATACCCTGTTTTGTTGGCCTCACTTTGCTTTAATAAATGCTTTGGTAATTTGTTAATGTATTTTGTCAACTTGATTAAGAGAATAAAATTTATTGTTGTTATACTTTTAGTGGAGAGAGTGGGGCTGGGAAGACTGAAACAGCTAAAATTGCGGTGAAATATTTGGCAGCACTTAATGGGGGTGGTGGTGGAATAGGGACTGACATCTTGAAAGCAAGCTGTATACTGGAGGCATTTGGCAATGCAAAAACAGCCTGTAATAACAACTCCAGCAGATTTGTGAGTTCTCTTATGCTTTATTCATAAGAGGAATCCTGAACTGATATTTAGCGATTAACAGAAGAAACCTAGCTTGGTGACACAAGAAATGTTTGTGCAGGGAGAATTAATTGAAATCCACTTCAGTGCTAGTGGACAAATATGTGGTGCTAAAATACAAATATGTAAGCATACTAATGGCAGATAAATTGAACCTTGTATCTCTACTTGCTGATATTTATTTTAGCCATACTTGTCTGACTTGATTACTCACTTTTTTTGCATGTCAAACATCCTATCCTGAATTTCTGGTGTAGTACTTCTTGAAAAGGTGAGTTTTTAATCAAAATAATTGTTCACTACTGTAGTTTGTA